GAAACCAAGGCCAAGGTCTGTTCAAGCTAGACGTGAGACGCTGAAGCAGCTAACGGACTCTGCTGAATAACCCTTCTCCAGAACCAACAGTGACTCTCCCAAAGAGAACCTCAAGAACCCTCAAGGTACAATCAGTGCACCTTTGGAAATCAAATCCTGTCAGCAGTCCATAACAGCGCTGTCTCTCACGCAGACTCCGGTGAAACCAGAACCCAGGCCCGAACCAGCCATCAGTGCATTTTGTGTGTTGTGCAAAATAAACTTGTTAAACTTTTCATCCTTGTGTCCGTCAGTGGTGTTCTGCATTATTGGGTCTCCATTTGAGAACCCATCATGACACTAAGTATTTATTTATGTGCATGTTTTTTCTGTTTTATTCTGCCTTTTTTTTTTTACCCTAGTTATTTCTTCCCTGCTGTTTATTTCTGTCTCTCGTTTTAATTTCTGGGCATCTATGGTTTGATTTCTTTGAATGTTTGGATTGCATGGAGTGTCAATAGCACCTCTATAGATATATAACAAAATGGTGGCATGTTCAATACTTTTTTCACCCATTGTAAGGCACTGTCGCAGCAGAACTTGATTTAAATCAGATATGTAATTTCAGTCAGAAATTTAACCTAAAACCCTGAAGAGGTTATTAGGATTATGGAAGAGTACAACAAGGTGGACTAGCAGGTGGTCCTCTGAATAGTTCAACATAAAACTCAACAAATATAGTGAGGAAGTGGCGGCCTAGTGGTTAGTGGGATAGAACTTGAAATACTGAGGGTCTAGGTTTGAGCCCCACTCCAACAGACTGCCACTCAGGGTCAATGAGCAAGACCTTTAACCCCTGATTTCTCCCAAAGATGGCAGCCCACTGCTCCCAAAGGGGATGGGTTAAATGCAGAGAGTTCATTTGTCCAATGAGGGATCATTAAAATTAAATTATTATTCTAAATAGAGGCTGGATTGGTGTAATCAAAGTCAACCTTTGAGCTGCTGTAGCATAATATAAACAGGTTGTTCACTCTTGATAACCCTCCAACATGGATAAATGAATCCTCAAAACCAAAGTTCCAGTTTAATGTTAAAGATTCCAGTTAATAAAACACTTCATGGCTTTTATTATTAGAACAACCGGTTATTATGTGTGCTGGACAATGACCTTTTGTCACATTGATAGGTTGTTATAATATTTTCCTTCTCCATGTTATTCAATTATCTGAAAATATTCACAACTCAGTCTGGTAATTATTAGTGTTGCACCGATGACATTTTTTTGGCCCCGATACCCGATACCTGGCTGTGCAGTATCGGCCGATACCATCTGTTTGAAACTGATGTGTGCGTGTTTATATGAAGAACTGCATACTACGTGGATGTAAAATAATTGCCATCATGGCTTTGTGAAGCCGCTGCCTACCTTTGTGAAGTAGGAAAAAGACTAAAACAAAGTGAATCCAGTAGAACTTTTTATTGCCTACCTGGAATGGGTGACAATAGTTGAAGAAACTTTTGGCTCATAAAATGGTATCGGTGCCCAATTTGTTGTTACTCGCCGATACCGATACCACCATTTTAGTGCTGGATCAGGGCCCCGCCCGATATTGGTATTGGTGCAACACTAGAAACTAATGTTACTAAATTCCTTTGAAAAAAGATCTGAACCTATTCAGAGGGAAAAAGCAGCCTGAAAGAAGAAGACACCTGCAATGTACACTACCGTCCAAAAGTTTGGGGTCACATTGAAATGTCCTTATTTTTGAAGGAAAAGCACTGTACTTTTCAATGAAGATAACTTTAAACTAGTCTTAACTTTAAAGAAATGCACTCTATAAATTTCTAATGTGGGAAATGACAATTCTAGCTGCAAATGTCTGGTTTTTGGTGCAATATCTACATAGGTATATAGAGGCC